TGTGTGTGTGTGTGTGTGACAACTGACATGGGTTAGTGTGAGGGTTAGAGTAGTAGTTGTGGACATGTGAATATGTGCCCTTACATTTTCATCTTCAGCACTTAATGCATAATGAAACTAAATAACACTCAAATCACCCAACCTAATTGCTTCTTTTCTGTTTTAAAGGAAGACCTTGAGGTGTTGAGATTTCCCTCCACATTTTGAATTGCATATTTTAAGGGGTATTTTCTTTAATTACTGAAGTGAAAGTTAAGTCACAGTAACTATTTTACATATATATATAATTAATATATAAAGATGCAGTGTTTGTTAGAGACGGAGAATACTGTGTATATTTTTCTTTCTTTCTTTTATGACCCTCCACCACCTCCCGCTTTTTAAACTCTATATTTGCTTGGCTTTTTCTTTTATGTTCCTCGTCATTTCCTCTGGCTTTCCAAATAATATATACAATTGCAATAGAGCAGAGGAAAATGTAAAAAAGGATCAAAGATAATAAACATACTGTATATACTCAAAGTACAGTTCTTTTCTTCTTTCGCTTCTGTAGTATGTATATGTAAGATATTTGAACAGTCCCTGCCACAGGTGGAGCTGCTGTTTTCATGCATTGCTTTTCTAATGCATGATTTCTGTCTGTCCCTTCTGGATTCCTGTCCCTGTTCTTTCTAATCCCTCTCCTTCTCCACCTTCTCTCGTTTTTCTTTTGATAACGTTTCTCTCCCACTTTATCTTTGCTCTCCTTCTTTCTTGATGTGATGTTCTTCCATCTCCTCCTCATCCTCCTCCTCTCTCCTCTACAGGTCTCCAGTCTGCTCGGAGACCCGTCCAGGCTGCTGATGCAGAAAGCTTTGTCTCTGCGTCCTCCAGGCCTCGTGCCACTGGGGAAAGGCCTGCTGGGAGACTCCCCTACTGGTGAGGATGGCCGATTATCAGTACGCCCTTGTCAAATGACTTGGTGTAATTACTGCAGACTAATGAGACCATGTTGAGACCTACAGTACGTCTCCCTCCAGTGTTTTTGTTAATGCTACGTTCAAATTTGTTTTGTTCTTTTCTCTTATTCTGTCATCTGCAATTGTAAGAGCATCTGAAAACGTTTAATTAGTGCTGCACCCTGTTTCTGTTGTGTGGAGGAAAACAATATCCCAAACTGCTGTAAAGCAAAATGTATAACGCAGGGACCAAGTGGCACAAGTGGTCTCAAAATGAGTGTAGTAACTATTTATTGCTTGTGATTAAATATAAGATTTAGGTTTAACGTGAACTTGCTTTTTCAAGTAATATCTTTAAAGATAGTTTTATGATCAGCCTTGTGTAGACTGCCCCAAAAGTGAGCAGGGCATACACTTTTTTTTGACTAAACATAGACATAAAAGCACATAAAAGAGGACTGCATTTTACTGGAAAGATTTATACTCATGGTTGAATCCTGACAGCTTCCATGATTAATGTACCTCAGCTCAAAGCCAGTATCCTGTTATGGCTGTTTAGATAAGCAAGCTGTACAGGTATTTAACGTCATACCCCACAACAAACCAACATGTTGGTTTGTAAAATAAGCTTACATAAACCCCAGCTGAGACCACCTGTTTCAAGCAATAAAAGAGTACATATGCCTCAGTATTCCAAAGAGTATTTGTATTTTCTCAGATATTTCTCACTCTTATAAAAAAATGACTTATTCTTCTTCTTACTCAGTGTGAATTTCTTACTTGACATGTAGCAGTATTTTTTTTAACAATAACTGGTGTAAAAAGGTTTTTAATGCAGAAGAGGGAGGTGATATACAATTTAAAGGATATAACCCTCAATCATGATATGTTAATGTCAGCTGTCAGGGATGCCCCTCAGCAGATTCCCTGAATGCCTCACAGTCTTACATTACTATACAACACACCCTCCAGAAAACTGCAGTGCATTTACAATTCAAATCCCCAGCTGAGTAAAGTTGTGCTGTTTTAAATGGAAATTATATATCACAGACTGTCTGTGCACTAACACTAGCAGTTGTGTGTATGTGCGCTAATGTATTCGTGTGTGTGTGTGTGTGTCCCTATTTGATTGTGTATATCAGTCTGTAATGTGAGGCTTTTATCAGTGCATGTGTCTGCTGGGATTGTTAGCTTAAGGCTTGTTAGAACTGATTCCTTTATTGTGCTGTGGAGGCCATTTGTCACAGCAATATTGGATTTATAGTAAGTGTGTGTGCCTGCGTGCATTCAACTTTAGTGTGTGTGTGTGTGTGCATCTTTAAATTATGTGTGCCTGTGCGTTTATGTCTGAATGTTTTTTGTGCTTGTGTATATGTATGTGTGTACATATTTGTTTTTATTAAACCCTGGAGTGAGTGAAATATTGTGAGTGTGGAGCAAAGTGCCGGGCTGTAAATAAACATGATAAGTGATGATGTATGAGCCGTTCTCAAATATTACAACTGGCCCTACAGAGACGGTCGGGCTGGGCTCTGTAGTTTCCAGCCGTCTCAGTGATTTGTCTCTGTCCAAAGGAGACAGAGACACTGATGGTCATCAGTAAAAACCATTTCACGTGTTTATCTGGCATCTCCTTCTTTTCATTTCCTTTCACATCATTTATTTTTCTTTACATTGCTCTCCTGTTCTGTATTTTGTCTTCCCCATGTTTTACTTTCTTTAATTTTACTTTGTTTGTTTTTTTTCCTTTTCATTCCCTTTCTTCCATTGTTTCCCATTTTTTCCTTTCCTTTGCTTCTCTTGATCTTTTTCCCTACTTATGCCTTTCTTATACTTTACTTTCTCTCACTTTCCCCTCCTTTTGCTCTCTTCTCCTTTCCTTTCCATTGTTTTACATCCTTTCCTTCATTTGTCTCACTTGTTGTCTGTCCTTCGTTTTTCCTTTCTCTTCTTTTCCTGTTCGCTTCTTCTCATTTCC